GCCGGGGTTGGTCGATCTCCCGCGAGGAGCCCCAGGAGTGGTCGATGGTCGGTGATTAGTTCAAAGTCCCTCCCGAACAAGTACTCATGGAATTTCTTTACTCCCGAAACGGCGGCAAGGGCCTCCTTGTCGAGCTGGCTATAATTTCGTTTGGCGCTTGATAGAGTTCGGGAGTAGTATGCGATGGGCGCTTCTAGGCCATTCGGGAGTCTATGGCTCAGGACGGCTCCCACCCCGAACGGGGACGCGTCACATGCTAGAACAAGGGGAAGCGTTGCATTGTACTGTATTAAAAAACTTTCAGCTGATAGCAGTTTTTTAATGCCGGCGAATGCCCTGTCTTCAGCCTTCCCCCATTGCCAAATGGCTTTCTTGGTTAACAGTCTATGTAGGGGTTCTGCCACTGTTGCCTCGTCTTTAAGGAAAATGGCGTAAAAGTTTAATAGCCCCAGGAAGGCCTGTAACTCTGCCTTGTCTTTGGGGGTGGGTGCTTCTTTGATTGCCCTGATCTTGCTCTCTGTGGGGTGTATGCCGGTGCCATCTACCCTGTATCCTAGGAATTCGACTGAGGGGACTGCGATCATGCATTTGTTTCGTTTTACTCTGAGTCCTGCGTCCCTGAATTTCCTTAGGACCTCCCTCAGCCTTTCTCTTAGCTGCTGCTCATTGTCGGCGGTAATGAGCACGTCATCAAAATAGGGCACCACCCCGGGGATTCCCTGTAGCAGCCGCTCCATGGTACTTTGGAAAAGTCCGGGGGCTACGCTTACTCCGAATTGCAAGCGGGTGCACTTGAAGGCCCCTCTGTGGGTTACGATAGTCTGTGCCTCTGCGGTAGCGCCATCTACCGGCAGTTGCTGGTATGCCTGCGCAAGATCGAGTTTTGCGAAGATCTTGCCGGGGCCCAGGGAATGCAACAAATGGTGAACGATGGGCACTGGATAGGCGCTCTGCTGCAGGGCCTTATTAATTGTGCATTTATAATCAGCGCATATGTGCACTGATCCGTCCGGCTTGACCGGTGTCACAATTGGGGTCTCCCATTTGGCGTGGTCGACTGGAACGAGCACCCCTTGTTTGATTAATTTGTCCAGTTCAATGACAATTTTGGGCTTCAGGGCGAACGGTACCCGCCTAGGCTTTAAACGGATGGGTGCAATATTGGGGTTGAGATTAAACGAAATCGGGGTCCCCACATACTTTCGTCGAACACGTCCTGGAACTCTTGCATCAGGTCTTCCTTCAGGGTGCTTCGAATGTTCCTGACTCCGGTGAATCCCATGCCTAGGGCTCTAAACCAGTCCATGCCCAGGAGGCTAGGGAGGTTGTCGCTGACGATGGTGAGGGGCAGTTTCTTGGTAAACTCCCCGTACTGTACTTGGAACTCGCTCTGCCTTCGACAGGTATGCGGTTCCCCTGGTAATCCTTCAGTCTGCGTTGCTGCGGCTGGAGCTGTCGCTTGTGTGCGTTGGGGATGACTCTCTTTAGGTTCTCCCAAGACATGATGGATATCGGCGATCCCGTGTCGATCTCCATCTGGCACTCCCGTCCCTCGATTTCGACCGTGGTGTAGGTCTTCTCTCCGGGCAAGGTGCAGGTCTGTGCGATGCGTATGGTGTAGGCCCCAGCGTCTTCAAATTTTGTGCCCTTCCGGCTGCCGCCATCTTTGTTGGGCCTTCGGTGTGGCGCTGGCTTGGATTGGAATGTTTGGCCACGTGGTCTGTAGCTCTGGTGTGTCTTGGATCTGCAGACCCGAGCGATGTGGCCCCTCTTCTCACAGGAGCGGCAAACGGCATCCCTGAACTTACAATTTTGTCGTGAGTGGGACCCTCCGCAGCTGGCGCATCCGTCTCTGGGCTCCCTCTGGGCTGTGCGGGACTGCTCGGTGCGGTAGACCTCTTCTTCAGACTCCCCCTCGCTCGCGGTGCTTACGGCCTCTCGGTGCACTGGCGCCATCTTCTGCGTTGTTCTGGTTAGGTGGGAGCTCTTTAGCTTCTCTGCAGCCTTTACTGATGATTCCTGCGCTCTTGCCTCGTCTAGGGCGATGTGTAGGGTCAGGTTTGACCTCGCGAGCAGCTTTCTCTGAAGCGGGCTATCTCTCACTCCGCAAATTAGTTGCTCTAGGAGCATCTCATCTAGGTCTCGGTACTCACACTGGGTTGCGGCCTTACGCAGGGCAGCGACGTACTCGCTGATCGATTCGCCCTCCTGCTGGAGCCGTTGCTGGAAGTCATAGTGCTGGACGTACTTTGATGGCGTTGGTGCATAGTGGTCTTTCAGCAGGGTCTGCAGCGTCGACCAGGAAATGTTGTGGACCGAATTCGGCTCCGACAATGCTTCTGCTGTGTCGAAAACCCTTGGCCCGCAGTGACTAAGGAACAGGGCTTTCTTCCGAACATCCGGTAGCCCTTGCATGTCGTTTGCCACCATGAAGCACTCAAACCGGGACATGTAGGATCCCCACTTCTCTTCTTTGGGGTCGAAAGGCGCTGGCGGGGTGTAGGCAGACATCGTTTCGGGATTCTCCTGTGCTCCGCTCGCTCGTCTGGCTGGATTCAGGATGCGGCCTCCGGTCCCCTCTCTGAACGTGGCTTCAGCTCTTTTCTCTTGAGTGTGGCTTCAGCTCTCCTCTGCTTCTGGCCTCAAAATCCCACCTTCGTTGCCAATGTTAAGTTGGGTGAATGAGGACGCAGCAAGCCAGAGTAGTTCGTGACAACAGCTCTTTATTGTATAGTGAGACTCCAGCAACTAACCCAGGGAGCCAGCTCCCTTTATATACCTTGCAGCTGTAGTGGTCAGCCAATCAGCTGAAGGTCAGTTAATTCGAACTCCCCGCCAAACAAACCTATTTACATAACAAACCTATTTACATAACAGTTGGGTCTTCAGATAATATGTGAATAGTAGGATAATATGAGCTGGTCATTTGTGCCTTTAGTATCTTCAATACCAGTGTTAAGGGTTGTTGTTTTACCTGTTGGCATTAGTTTGGTCTTCCTTATATTTAATTTTAGTCCTATTTTTGCACTTTACTCCTTAACTATTTTTACTAGAATTTGCAGATACTTTGCATTTTAAACTACCAGAGTAGTGTAATTAGCATAGGATAGGTTATTACTTTCTTCTCAGAATATAAAACTATGCTTATCTTCTTCCAGTCCAGGTTTTCTTAATATATATTCAGCATATAGATTGAATAAATAAGGGGAGAGTATGCCACCTCATCTCCTTTGCCAACCGGGAGCCAGTCTGTTTCACCATGTTTTATCTGTCCTGACCTGTATATAACTTTCTCATGAGGGCAATTTATTAACAGCAGAAACCACCATTAATATAACAAGCTTAAAATATTTAGAAGACATACATTATCCTGGAACACAATATATTCTGTGGGAATTTTATACAAATTAGGATGAGAACTGGTTAGGAAAGTTTTCTTACTTTGAAAAAGGAAATTTATTTTGAAAGAGATTATATATTTTTTGATTTGTTGTGCTATCCCTTTTTTGAATGGTGAATTTCAGTATTATCTGTTTAACATGAAATGTAATTTATTAAATAAAACTTAATAAAAAATAAAAATGAAGCTTTCTTACTGCTGCTTCTCATTCCAGCATAGTTCTAAAATATTTCATGCCAAATTCTATTGATTTCAGTTTTCATATGCGAGATTGCATAAATAGTTACTAAAGAATTTGCTGCAGATAAGGTTGAGATACAAGAAATTCAGTGGTGAAATGTAAAATTTGTTACAATGGGTTCTGTGGGCGTGGCTTGGGGGGTAATGTGACTGGGTGGCCGTGGCCAATTTTTTTTTTACTTTTAAAAGCATTTTTTCTGCAACCTTAAGACACTATATTATAGTGTCACAATAGTGTCTCATAAATTCTAGTGGTCTATAGTAGATCAAATCAGAATTACCTGAGAGCAGTCTGAGTGTTTGAGGCTGTGAGATTGACTATCTTTAGTTTCAGCTCGTAGGAATGAAATTAGTCTGATCTAAATCTAATTGACTATTGCCTGAATGCTTCAACTACTTACAATTGCTTCAGGAAACTAATATAAGATTTATTCTGTCAGCTTTACTCTTGAGAGAAGGAACAGCAAGGACATAAAAATCAAACTTTATATACGGTAGATGATAAAATGATTACTTGTCAACAGTCTATTTAAATGCTTGGGGAAACTGAAATGATCTAGCAACTGGCTGTAATATCTAGATAAGAAATCATTAGAAATATTTTTCTCTATAGTTCAGTTCAGTATTTAAAAAAGGAATTTTAAAATGAAATCAAGGTAAGAATATTCTAAAAATATTTTAAATATACAGCTATCAGTTGATAAGAAACTAGGATTTGTAAATAGCCAATGTTTATTTTTTTAATTAAATCTGAGCAAAATTAAACATTTTATTTAGAAAGGGAGGCAAACTAAGAGAAACATTCTCAAGCAGGAAATTTGTAGTTTAGTTACTTTAAAATATATTTATTTAGAAAATGTACATGGCTGTTCAATTAATGTGAATAATTATGGGTTCCCACCAGGTCAGGACATCCAAATTTCAGAGGAGAGGCTGTTGCATTTCTGAAATAACCAAATGTAAGAAAAAACTTAGAAACCTCCTATTTGTTTCAGATTATGTTTCATTTGGAAGCCACTTTTTGCCTGAAGGTTTAGGATTAGAGTTACGATTAGGTTGCTTGAAGGGTACCTATCAATGAATAAAATGTGTTCCAAACATATATTTCACATCTGTGGACCTATTTTTTCAATAAACAATATCTTTCATGGATAGGAATATTTATGTCTGAAATAAGGTATCATGTAGGAAAGCTGAAATAGATCTCTGTATGAAACCCTAATATTGATTCATACAATAGTACAGTTTTTAATTTTCTGTCCATTTGGTTGAATGCCGCAAAATATTTTCTCCTTTGTACATTCTTCCAAACTGCTTTCTAACTCTTGCTAGACTAATTACCAGTTTTCTTTTGTATAAGGACTTGATCACTTTCAGCGAGGATGAATCCTGCCTTGCGGCTGTGGAGTCAACATTTCCAGTTACTGTCTGTAAAGAGGAATTGGCAAAAGGTACAAAGGCACCTGCTAATAATTCCTGGAATACAGGTATGTAGAAAATAAACTAAGTTTGTACTAAATCACATATTCAGTAGTAAACAAGACATTGGGAGTAATTCAGGGGTGAAATCCAGCAGGTTCTGACAGGTTCTGGAGAACCGGTAGCAGAAATTTTGAGCAGTTCGGAGAACCGGAAAATACCACCTCTGGCTGGCCCCAGAGTGGGGTGGGAATGGAGATTTTGCAATCTCCTTCCCCCAGGAGTGGGGATTTTGTAGTATCCTTCCCCTCCCATGCCCACCAAGCCATGCCCACAGAACCGGTAGTAAAAAAATCTGGATTTCACCACTGGAGTAAATGATTTATTATTGCATTACATGTATCTCCCATTTTTTTCCTGAGAAGCTTTCATGAAGTCACTCCTCAGGTTAGTCTCTCAGCTGCAACCGAGTGAGATAGGTTTTGTTGAGAGAAATAGCAAGTGAATTCCATGATTGCATGGAAACTTGAATCTGTTTTTCCCTGATCCAATCTTCACACATAACTACACAGAAAGATATGGTAGGTTAAAACTGTGTTAGATAAAAATGCTTTTACTGTTATATATTTGGCTTTGAGGTTCTACAGTCACTCAGGGATAGGAATATTTATATCTGAATCTGAGGATTCTTGTTGTACTCATCCGAAGGCTAGCAATAGACTGTTTATTTACAGCATACACAAATGACTAATGGAATTTAATGCATGAAAATGTTCTGATGAACATTAGCTTTGCTTGGCACATTCTGTGCTTTCAGAAATGGTTGCCATAGAAACAACAACAAAAACTACGGTACTTCAGCTGTGTGAAGTTATTAATAGGGAAATAAACTGTTGAGAGGGTGAATTCAAAAGAGATAATTTTATTTTCATATCAGATCTTATGTCCTAGGAGATAAAGGACATTTGACCATAGATCTGAACTGCCCATAAAAATACGTACATGATGGAAATAGATATACAGAAATTAATGTGAAATAGAGCATAAATTCATCATTCTGAACATGAACTGGGAACTGGGAACTGGGAACCAAATGTTCATCTCTTCACTGCCATGAATACAATAGTAAATATTCAAGCAACATACAGTTGAAAAGTAATAGGCATATTTTTCAGTAGTTATCTTGTCAAAATAATAATCACATACAAATTTGTAGTCTAAATTAATATTGAGTTATTTTAGGACCAGATCTACTCAAAATTAAGCCAATTTATATTGAAAATTGAATTTTTAGCTGAGCTTTGCTTATTCCCACATTTGCAAAGGTATCTTTGCATCTTTGGCTAGTACAAGAGTTTCTAGTGGAGAATTTAGTACACATTTTAGAGAAAAATTACCATATTTTTTGGAGTATAAGATGCACCTTCCCCCCCCCCCAACGAGGTTGAATATTTGGGTGCATCTTATACTCCGAATGTAGATTTTTGGAGCCTTTTTTCAGCCCTAACGAGGTGTTAGCGAGTGAAGCGATCTCCATGTTTTTCTCCGACTGTCAGCTGTTCTTTAGAAGCTTTCTTTCAGCCCTAACTAGGTGCTAGCCGAGTGAAGTGATCTCCCCCACAACCAATGCTTTGCCTGCTTTTCTCATTGCTGCTTCCTCTCAGCTGTGCTTTAGAAGCTTTTATCCCCAAGTAGGGGATAAAAAACCAGCAAACTAATGTGCTGAAGCTGACCAGACTAAGGACGCTAGCCAGATAAGTACCTGGTCAGTGATTTCCCCCCCTCTATTTTCCTCCCCAAAACCTAAGCTACGTCTTATACTCCAGTGTGTCTTATACTCTGAAAAATACGGTGTGTAATATCAGTATAGTTCTTTTCTAGAACGAAGCAGTATTATGCAGCATATGGAAAATGTTAAATGAGAAAAGTAATGATAAAAATTTGTAAACTTAGTGAATGGTGTTTTCTACATCTACATACCTACAGTCTCTCTAATGAGGAGTAAAAAAAAATCCATGCTGCTATATTCATTTCCATGTACAAAGCTAGTTCTGAATTCCTGCAAGCATTCTTCATATGTTTTAGCCTTCACACACCCACACTCCTCAATCATCTTTATTGTTCTTTTCTGCACTCTTTCCGTAGTCTCAACATCTTTTTTATTTTGTGGTGACCAAAATTGGATGCAATATTCCAAGTGCGGTCTTACCAAGGCATTATAAAACAGTAGTATCACTTCTCGTGATCTTGATTTTATTCCCCTGTTAAATACAGCTTAGGACTGTGTTGACTTTTTTGACAGCTGCAGCACATTGCTGGGTCATATTTAAGTGATTGTTCATTAGGACTCCAAGATCCCTCTTGCGGTTACTGCTGTTGAGCCATGTTTCACCTTGTCTGTATTGCTATTGAGCCAAGTTCCACCTTTTCTTGCCTAAGTGTAAAACCTTACTTTTTTCTACATTTGAATTTCATTTTGTTAGATAGAACCCAGTGTTCAAATCTATTGAGATCTATCTGGATTTTGAGCCTATCTTCTAGGGCGTTGGCTATCATTTTTAGTTTGGGGTTCATCTGCAAGTATGATGAGTTTTCCTTCTATTCCCTCATCTAAATTGTTTATGAAGATATTAAAGGGTACTTGGCCTAAAACAGAACTTTATGGCACTTCACTGCTTCCTTCCTTCCATGTAGATGTAGTTCCATTAAGGATTACAAGTTGAGTGTGATTTGTCAACCAGTTACAAATCCATCTGGTGGTGATGCTGTCTATCTCACATTTTTCTACTGTTTTTTCCCCTTTAAATTGCGTACAGTTTAAGCCAGACATAGAGTGTGAATTTCATATAGAGAAAGGTTAATAATATACAGAAGCCTTAATAAAGTTGTGTCACAATTGTTTTCTGGAAAAAGAAAGCTCACAAATACATGCAGGGCTACTGTGAGGATTATTCTAGGTATTTGTTGGATTATGTGTGAAATAATTTCACTTGTACGGTAAGGTTTCAACTCAAGATTTTAAATATCTATATCTATATCTATATCTATATCTATATCTATATCTATATCTATATCTATATCTATATCTATATCTATATCTATAGATAGATAGATAGATAGATAGATAGAGAGAGAGAGAGAGAGAGAGAGAGAGGAGAGGAGAGAACCCTGCTCTGCTGGGCTCCTCAGCATTTGGCCTGGGCTGTCTATGCCTCCACAGGACAAGTCTACATGCCCAAAGGGGTGGTGGTGGTGGTGCCGTCGATCTCTACTCCCCGATAGAAATCGGTCTCTGCTCATCCTGCAGGATCTTTTCCGATGCCTCACTGCTTGGTAAGCCAGTAGCACGTCGATGTGTCTATTGATGGCGTTATTGTTGGAAAAACAGGCTTCTTTCAATAGGCGTCCCCCTTTAGTTGCATCATGGGCAACAACTTTAGCCTCTTGAAAATTGAACCTGTGATTGTGCTCCTTCATATGTGTCCAGATCTGGGAGGGCTGTTTTTTGCACTGGATGGGCAGCCCAAGCAGTGTGCGATAGGGGAGGAAGCAATAGGAGCTAAGCCTCCATCGATTAACATGTCTGAAGTAAAAACTCATTCTCAGCATATTCCAAATTAAATGAAAGCAAAATCCTCAAAACACCATTCTTCAGTTTATCTCTGACCTTGGGATAATTAGGCAAACTGCCAAAGGCTTTTCTTGGCAACAGTTCAGGAACAGAAGACGCTGACAAGAAAGAAATACATCCAAACACAAAGCAAATCTCTCAACAGTTGTTTTCTGGCAAAGAGGCCAAGAGCCGTTGCTGGTCTTTTAAGCCTTATGGGCGGGGCCAATCATCTCCAGAGGACACCAGAGTTGTCCTCTCTGCTTTAGCTGCTCCTGCCTTCTGGCAGCTCTTCTCATATATGCACTAGGAACAGGGTCCCCCTGTTCCTCTGCCTCTCTAGTGTCAGCCTCTGGAGGCTCTGAAGTCCGTGCATCACTCCCCAGTGGCCCTGGCCCCATCTCTGCCTCTTACGCAGAGCTTTCATCCGGGCCTTCCCCAGCCTCCAGGACTGGCCCAGGTTCTTCCTCAGCCTCATTGCTGTCTGACTCCACTGCTAGCTCCGCAGTCTGCTGGTGGATCACAACACTTATTGAAACTATTGAAACGTCTATGCAATGTTAACTTTATAGGGTTTTTCCCTTTTAAATATATCTGAGTAGGTTTGTGCATATACTTGTATCTATATTAATGGTGCGTGTTATTTTTTAATTCTGTGATTTGATCTTGTACTGTAAATAAAGTCTTCTCACATATCATATTTCCTAATGTAATGACTTTACATTATGTCCCAATGTACATGGGAATGACCTTGAGAGACAGAGAAAAAGGTGCTGCCTAGTGGATAAAAGTATTGTGTGTGTGTGTGTGTGAGTGAGAGAGAGAGAGAGGGAGAGAGGGAGAGGGAGAGGGAGGGAGGGAGAGAGAGAGAGAGGGCGGGCGGGCGGGCGGGCGGGCGGGCAGCTGCATAACAGGCAGAGAAATAAATAGTCCTTTCTAACTTATTATGCTGTAAAAAAAATTGTGGGAGATTTGTACTTTCAGACTTGCAAGATTCTGTTAATGTAGCCTTACAATAAAGTACAATTAACTCATCTGGTCTACTTCCTGTCTGGCTTACCTGGGGAGGGTGATGCTTATCACTTCTGAGGATTCTTTTTCTGTCTGAAATTTGTACCCTGTAATAGGTTTTTGACTAAAACTGATCTACTGATTTCTGGGAAGAAAACCTCTCCTAGATGATTAGCATTTAAATAGGATAGATAGTCTTTAAAGCTATATTATATTCACTAAATCAGTGTACGATTTAAGCAAGAAAGATTTGAATACAGTATTATTACAGCTCACAATGACAGATATAAAGTGTAGTTTCAGTGATTGGTTATAAGGCATCACATGGAGCTAGTCTTAAAATAACAAGGTACCTCCAGGTCAAATTAATTTTAAAATGGCAAAAATTTACAGTAAATCACTGGGAATGATTATAGGACATAATTTATTGTAATAGAGAATTATCTATTTAACTTTTGTCAATGGGATATATTTATTTATGTGCTGTATATGGAAAGAGATAAAAATTAAAAAAATTAATTGACTTTTTCCAAGTCTTAAAAACTTTTTAAAAGATTCATTGAAGGTTGGATAATTATCATTTGAGAAGCAATGTAGTTGACAATATATTGACTGAGAGTCCAAGTATAACACTTTGGAGCCAGAAAATTATATTATAAACACACACACACATGGGGGGGGGGGGGGAAGAGAAGGGAGAGAGATATGAGAGTTAATCCCATCTCATATGCTAAATCTGGTGAATTGTAAGATTTTAAAAATGTAATTCCAATATTAACGTGGTAGACAAAGTGAAAAAGAATTCCATTAAATTGCCTGAGGTATTTTGTAGCTTTTGGAATCTGTAATAAAGCTATTCTATCAACATTTTTATTTCTTAAATAATGGACCAGTGTGTCAAGAATTTTTTATAGATAAAGTCTGCAGTCTTTTAGTTCCTGGGCCAGCATCCCACAAACCATATGAAAGATATGCTTATTCTCCTTGAGTTTAGAAAAAGATTTTTTTTGAATGAAAACCCCTGACAGTATAATAGTATCCTACCCTTGATATTTTTTCTGTGGTAGAATAATGCATGCATCTGTGAACAAGTCAAATATTTTGAATCTACACCGGGGGTTTTCTGTTCCTAGAATGAAGATTTTATGGTATATTCACCTTTTCCTATAAATTGCCAGTCTTCTGTTTATATGGGGGTTTGCCAATGATGTAACAGGATTGACACTCCTTATGATTTCAATAAAATAATAATAGAAAGCTAACAAGAGTGATAAAATCATTCAGATCATATAGACAACTTAATGATTGGTATATGCCCTTTTATCTCTGAAATAGCAAATTGATTAATTTGTTATAGACTTTAAAGACACTGGTTTCTGTCTTTCTTTAAACATGCCTTCAAATTTGCACAATTGTTCTGTCCAAAAATCCAAATTAGTTTGACTGCAATTTTATAAAATATTGGGTTTACATTAGTTTCTTATGTTTTCCATTTGTATATTGTGTTTATACAGTATGTGTGAAGAAGTTGTTGCAATCTGACTATTTCATCTAATATCACTATAAATTTAGTGACTTTAGTCATCATTATAAAGATTTCTAGGTACTTAAAAACCTTGCACTGCACAAAGAAACATAGGCACTTTCTTTTATCTGTAGCATGCATGAACTTTTATTTTGTTTTCTGTTATTTTTGTTATTATTATCAAGCTTTATTTTAAGTCACTGTATAACTTGGCAGTAAGGGAAACCTAGGTAATTAAAATGATTAACCACTAACTTCTAATTCCAGGTACTGTTTTGAATCCATCAGAAAGAAAACCGCTCCCTTTGCAAAAGTGGGATTCAGGCAGAAAATCGAATAATTCGGTTGTTTCCAGAGTTATGCTGAAATCTTCTCCAAAGAGGCCATCAAGCTTAAATAGTCATCAAGTTGCCACAACTTTGCTTGATCTTTGGTCATCCAGTCCAGAGGAATTTGTCACTATTAACAAACAGCAAGTCCCCAAGTCTGATTTGGCTTGTTGTCACACCAGGGCCTCTGTTGAGACCATTTATAAATCTCCCACCTTTCAAACCTTTGATCCTCTAGGAACCCCTATGACAAATACCCTGAAAGCCTCTCCAGCAACTCAGCAGTACTGTGGGCCTAATGTAGCTAACTTACGAAATCTCCACTTTTTAACACCAAGCATTGTAGAGGCAGTTGGTTTGAGTGGTGATCCCGCCCCCAGACCAGGTGAGTTTCTCATTTCCATGTTTAATTATAGGTTTTTGGCTCCCAGTCTTGCTTTTTAGTTTTCCAAAACTGTCATGCTTTTAAAATATACTAGAAAGTCGGCTTTCATTCTATATACATTTTAAAATAATGCTTTGGTTACTTAGCCCTTATGATATTTATTTTATAATATCATATTTGTATAAAGATAGTCCTCATTTATTGATCACAATAGAGACTTAAAACTTTGTTTTATAAATGGCACACTTGTTAAGTGCAATGTCATGTAACTGTCAATTCTGGCTGTGGTTGTTAAGCAAGTCACCAGTGGTTGTTAAGCATATCACAAATGCACAACTTGCAACTTCCTGCTGGCTTCTCCCTTAACTTTGCTGGTCAGAAGCCTGTGTAGGTTGCAAACAGCAATTGTGTGATCACAGATGCTGTAACTGTCATAAATTTATGCTGGTTGTCAAGTATCTGAATCCCAGTCATGTGATTCTGGGGATGCTACTACAGCTGCAACTTTGAGGACCAGCTGTAAGTCTCATTTCTCATACCTTTGTAATTTCAAATGATCACTGAATGATTGGTAAGTGAGAACTACCTCTAGTTAGATTTTTTGTTTTATTAGTCTCCAGCTAAGAATTCCTTTCAGTAACAAAAATGAGCTACCATACCACAAACTTGTAAATTACCAAAATCTGGAGTACCATGGCAACACGCAGGTATAGAAAACTGCTGAGATTTTGTGGTCATCTGAATTTATGCAGTACAGATGTAGAACCACTTTCAGCTACATTACAGATGATTTTTTTTAAAAAAAAAAAGTCAGTTCTTGAGTATTGCTGATGTAGTGGGAAGCCTAAAAACAGATCTTTCAGAGCTAGGATTCATTTTGGCAGTGTTTTCTAATTTTCTGCTCCTCTATTAGCTTGTGAATAGTTGTGAAAGTTGTGAAACTACTTGAGCACCTATGACTTGAGGAAGGACTTTATAATAATAGTAGGATACTACCATAACTTTTCAAGGAATGGTTTTAGGACTATGTAGTTGTGAATTCCTTGTGTAGTGGATGAACTAACATCTTAGTTAAATGATAATTTCAATCATACCATATCATATTTATATATATCATTGTCTTTAATTCTGCTTTTATTTTGGGTAGGACAGGGATTAATGACATTGTCTGTATAGATCCTAACCTTTTTGCCATCGCGTGCCAGGAGAGGGAAGGCGGGGGAGGTTCATGAGCGTGCGTGCCCACACCCATAATTCTATGTACCCTGCCCTGCGCATGTGCACGCAAACTACCCCCCCCACTTCTGGCATGCGATGGCCCAGTAGGCCTATTTTTTTCTTACCTGGCTCCAGATCCTCTTTATGTATCTGGGAAGGGCGAAAACAGCCTTTCCCACTCCCTTGGAGGCCTGAAAGGGCCCATTTCCCAACTCCTGGTGGGACAGGAAGTGATGTTTTTTGCTGTCCTCAGCCTCCAGAGCCTCTTTTAGGAGTCTCTGGAGGCTGGGGACAGCAAAAAACATCACTTCCTGTCCCACCAGGAGTTGGGAAATGGGCCCTTTCAGGCCTCTGGAGGGCCTCCGAGGGAGTGGGAAAGGCTGTTTTCGCCCTTCCCAGATGCATAAAGAGGAAAACGGGCCTTCCCCACCCCCACCAGGCCCTCCGGAGGCAGGAAACAGCCTGTTTCCCTACTTCTGGTGCGCCCAGAAGGCCCAAAAATCAGCTGGCCGGCGTGCCAGAGCTGAGCTGACATGCCCACTGATATGGCTATGTGTGCCACCTGTGGCATGCGTGCCATAAGTTCGCCATCCCAGGTATAGATGGTATATAGAATAACTCTTAAATCTTATTTTTAAGGGAGGAAACCATAAGAGTCCTGTTTTCTTTGACATAATTCAGTATTGATCCTTGGTGACCAGATAAGCAGATTTTCTCCATGATGGTCTGTCCCTACCTTGGACTTTGAGATCTTTCAATAGTGCTCTCATCACCACCATAACTGAGTCCATCCACCTTTGGTCCTCTTTTTTCCTTCCATCTGTCCCAGCATTAGAGCCTTCTTCAGAGAACTAGATCTTTGCATAATGTCTCCAAAATAAACATATTTGACCCTGCTATGTGTACTTTGAGTGAGAACTCTTGGTTGATTTATTCAATGATCCATTTGTTTGTTTCCTTGGCTGTCCAAGGTGTTCTCAGGAGTCTTCTCAAACAAAGTTCAAAAAGGTCAATATTCTTCCTATCTGGCTTCTTCAAAGTCCATTGTTCACATTATTTTGAACTTTATAGGGACAGATATATCATGGCATCTGAATATCTTTTCAAGGGGTTAAGGTTGCTCTTGCTCTTGGCTGCTCTTTCACGTGCTAGTTTGCAGCTCATTTCCTGACTGCTTGTTCCTTATTTATTTTTGATGGTTGATCCTAAAAGTCAGACCACTTCTATATTTTCATTGTCAACTCAAAGCAGAGTTTTGATTTTTATTAGGATTTATTAAAAATATTAGGATTTTTAATTAATTTCACAGAGTAATGTTTATTGGTAACATTTTTAACTTCTCTCAGTTGGCAACAATTGTTTATTTGACTTTTGATATAGTAATGTTGTAAAGCATTGAACACCATTTGGAGAAGGATGTAAGGACGAGTATTAGTTATTCACTTTACAAATTTAATATAATATTCAAAGCCATCTTAGCACCCCCCCTCCCATTCATTGACTCCAAACTCTAAAGTGACCTACTGTAGGTGCATTTTTGCACATGTAGAAGGTTTTAAATTAGGAATTAGATATGGCTGCAGAGCCTGAACACTTCCAGGCATTTTATAGTCAATGTATTGCTATTTCAAAAGAAATTCCCAGATAGTTTCTTCAACATACCTGTTCAATAATACAAACAGATATGCCCCTTGCATCTCAAGATTATCCATTGATGATAAAAAATATACAAATGTAAATATTTTAAATCCCATATTCTATTGTTTTAACTTAATTGTGGGGACCTTGGTGCTCTCTAAGCTTGGTTGTTTTCCTGCAGATGTTTCATTATCCAAACTAGATAACATAACCTACCAAGCTCAGACAGCACCAAGGACCCCTCATTTCAACACTGAGCTACAAATATTCTTCTTTATTGGTAGTTTAATTGTGTTGTTTATTTTATATAGTGTATTGTAAATTAAGACATTTAGATTTATAATTAACAAAACATTAAGAAGTGTTAAATATGAATACATAGTTTTGGCAAACAATGACCTTTTTTTCTATCAATATATATATGTATATTTTTTTTTAGATTCTGCCAGCTCCATGGGAACAACTTCTTCCTTTTCTACTTTCTCCATCTCATCCCCAGAATCAGCTGTACCAAACAACACCCCTCAGCCCTATTCTGTTGCACCCCATGGACCCTCCTACTTGCCTTCACCACATGGATTACCTTCTGTTTTCTTTAAAGATCTCAAGGAACGGATTGCACATTCTTTTTCTCCTTGCCCAGTATCTGATGTAGATGACAGTGCTAGCATTTTAAGCCTACTACCTGATAATTCAAAATGTTCTGTTGAGAAAAATGATAGCTTTAGGAGCAGAACTTGTGCTGCTGGTGAAAGCTGGGCAAACAATTTAGTGGAGGAAGTACTTGCTGGATCTAATCCTGTACCTCCAGCCACAAATCTTCCTCCTGACTCAGATCTTTTTCCTTTGAGTGCTGAGGAAAAAAATATGACCATTTTGGAAGAAATAAAAAATGCTGTTTGTGGACTAAGAGGGGACTTCTGCAGTGTGGCACAGGAGTTACGTACTATAGGTAGTGAATTGGCAAATATGGTAGTTTCCGTTCAAAATATGAACCAATTTTTTGCAACTCCCCAAACTGCTAAAGATGACCATACGAAAATATAGAACTCAAACTGGCTCACAATGAGGTAGTATAAGATGAGTTATATATTCTATTTTACTAATGTGCTTGACATATTTTGGAATTTACTTGCACAAAAGTAAATGTCTTTATATATGTATATATATATATGCACACACACACACACACACACACACACACAAATATATGTACCTATTATATTTTTGCTGTGGGAAATAAATTGTGATTTACATCTTATTTTTTGCAGTGGTTTTCATTTTTTAAAAACAACTCCTTGGATATATCTCTAAGGTAGTCTAAAACAAGGTATTCATCTTTTTCTGCATGAATGTCTCTAAGTGTTTCTCAAAGGAGTAATTAGGATTAATTAGACTGAGCAGTCATTTATATTGTGAGCACTACCTTTCTATGTTATCCCCCAATCAGGGGGCCTAATGCAGTACACACAAATGGTTGGTCAAATTTATGAGATTTATTGTTGATAGATCTATCATCTGTCTGTCTGTCTCTCTCTCCCCATCTCTCCATTATCGCTCCATCGCTCCATATCTCCTTCCCTCCCTCCCTCCCTCCCTCCCTCTCTCTCGTATATCATCTCTCTCTCTCTCTCTCTCTCTCTCTCTCATCAATCATCTAGCTTCTATCATCTATCCATCTATTTAAAAGATTTATATGGCCACTTAGTTGCCTTCTCTTAATTCTCTGTTTTTAACTATGTTGTTTTTATTTTATTCTTTATTGTTACATTCAGTTGTATTTGCTGCCCAGAGTCATCGTATGAAATGAATGACAATATAAATGGATATATAATTAATGGATTACAAATGAATTAATAATCAAGTAATACTTCTTGTTTGGACCCAAATGTCACAATCCATGGAACTTGCTGTCCATCCTCTATAGATTCTTCCTTTGTTATCTCAGCAAGGTGAAAATGTATGTTTTCACAGTTAGTCAGTTGCCTTGAAAATCCTTTGAAAAGGCCTCAAGGAAGTATGTGTCTACAAACCATTCTCTCACCAAAAAGAGAAAATAAAAGCAAATTATTTCTCAGCATCCTCATCTATCTAACATTGATCTATCTGCTGCTAGCCCAATAGATACCATGCATAATTAGAGTAACCAAGTGGAATGTGAAGTGGGAAAGACAGCTTCTTTGGAAATTGCTGTTTTATATCCGATTTTTGAAAGAAGAGGGAATTGGGAGAAGTAAGGCTGATAAAGAGCTCTCCCATATGAATAGAACTTTACTGCTATATTGGCATGGTGATTTAAATCCACAAAAGATAAAATCAGAACAATAAACCTGCAAAGCTGTAAAGGAAATTGAAAGTTCAAAGTGAAGTAATCTTATTTGTACCCATCTCACTGGGACATTTCCTTAAGAAAATGAAAATATTTTTGAATGTCTCAACAGATTTTTAACTCCAACAATAGTAAAGGAGGAGGAGGAGGAATCACTAGTGCAGAAATACTTCTATGTATGGTCATGTAAAGGTGCATGCATGACCTTTTTGTAATAAGAAAACTCTCTGATTTCAAATTTTCTATTCCCCCCCCAAATATTTAACAGTTAATTTTAAGGCAATCATATTATCAATATTATTAATGAGAACATCATTAGAACATGTTGATTTTCTATCTTGATTGAAATTTTATATTGGTTTATATTTGTGTGTATATATATATATACACACACACACACACACACATATATATATATATACATATACATACATACATACATACATACATACATACATACATAACACATTAAAACATTATTTTTGAAATATCACTTTTTCCCTTAAAGGACAGAAATGACTTGTATAAAATGGAATATATCTTTTGCATTCTTAACTTCTGAAATACATTATGTAGATGAGAGCATTTTTCAGAGTTCAAAGTAAGCTGTCTGCTTAGTTGGTTGGGATTGTAATCATGTTCTAAGAATTATTAGAAATTTACAAATGAGTAACAATCAGACAAATATCTATATTTGGATGTGAAAAGTTTACATTATAATTTTATATTTGGTTAAAAAGTATTTTCATCATGGATTAAAAGCAACTTCTTTTCTGATTCAACTCTGCCAGCTATTTGTATAATGTGTAGTCTCATTAACTTGTCAGAGGCAATGTAAAGTATATGATGAATGTTTATCATTAATTGAGTGTTGCTTGTCAGTTGCTTGCATGAATGTTTATTTACTTCTAAATGAAAGTATCATCAGGGGAAGTTGTTGACTGCCTCATGTTTAATGTGTTTCCGTGAAGTTATCTATTTTCAACTAAGCAGAACAAAATGCTGACAAAATTGAGCTTTTCCTGATGCTACAAGAATAAATGCTATTAAATACATATATGATATATATTTTCAAGCATGCATGCCAAACAATTACCATGTATGACTTGAGAGAAGGATAAAAAATAACTGAGCTTTGAAACAGGCTCCTTAATGATGTTTTCTGGGCGCCTGTGATCTTGGAAATGGAAGAATCCACAGAAAACTTTTTTCTTTTTTTTTACTGAAAATGGTTTAATTTTGTACCTTTATAGATGGGGACAGTGCAAACTCTCATAAAGTATTTGAATACTGTGTCTGAAGCAAAGCAGGCTGAAGGGATAGTTACATTAATTTAAGGATGCTATTTATTTATTTATTTATTTATTGGTTCGATTTATATGCCGCCCTTTTCCGAAGACTCAGGGCGGCTTACAATGCGTTAAGCAATAGCCTTCATACTTTTGTATATACCTGCTTGGTAGGGCTTTCGCCACCCCCCAGGCGGTGCTCTTTTTTATACAAAGTCAGCTTATTGCCCCCACAAAGCGGGTCCTCATTTTACCTACCTCGAAAGGATGGAAGGCTGAGTCAACCTTGAGCCTGGTGAGATTTGAACTTGTAGTAATTGCAGGCAGCTTGTGTGACTTAACAGTGCTTTAGTCTGCTGTGCCACCAAGGCTCATTTAAAAGTCATTTGGGAGACTCTCAGAGTTTGATATAAAATGGGGTGGGGAATGGCTATATACCAGTGGTGGGTTGCCCCTGGTTTGCACCGATTGTATAGAATCAGTGGTAAAACCAGTGGGAGGCTCCGCCCACTGACCCCGATGTCATCAGAATGCATGTGCAGAAGAGCGTGCGAGTGAAGCGCGTGCGTGCGGCCCGGTTGCGAACTGGTAGTAAAGGTAAGTAGAACCCACCCCTGCTATATACATATTTTAAATAAATAAATAAATAAATTTTTTCTATTGGACAGAAATATATATGAATTCAGCTGGTCATTCACAGGTTTCAAAAGGCTCAGTGCTGTCTCTTTCTATCAGAATAGACATTAATTAGGGATTTCTATACTGCTATGCTGTCCATTCTCCAGCTGTTCAGATCTCGCTTTGCAATAGCTTGCTGTTGTTTAAAAAAAAAAATCCCCCAGCAATTGAACACATTGTTGAAAATTAACAACTCCTCTCTCCATTTGGCAAAAGACGGGTTGCCTTCTGTGGATGTCATGCTCGCTTGTTTTTGCCTTGTTGCCATTCTTTTTTCAAAGAAGCTTAGTATGAAAAAAGGATGCATTCTGATTCTAAAATGATAAATGCAGAAATTTTGTTTCTGTAACTGATAAACATAAGCTAATCTGAGAGTTGTCAGAACTGTTTTATTGAACATATAATGACAGTAATTTCTTCATTGTTCCACAGTCATAATGAACTGTTTTTCAAAAGCTTGCTGTTTTAACTGACTGGCTCTGCTGAATTTCAGACCATTGCAATTTCAGTTCTGTTGTCATGGTTGATCTGTCTTAAAACTGGGGTATGATAACAATCAGAAGCAACTATGACTAAGGGGAAAAATTTACTTGTAATTTTACAGTTGACCTGGTATTTGATATAACATATTAATGTGTGTGCATGTTTTGTGTAAATAATTTTATTTACTACATTTTATTGAAAAATAATGATTTTTCTGAGTGAAAACAGATCATTAGAAATAACTCATTATTTCTAATTCAGAATGACTGAATTCATATGTAAATCAAGACAAAAAAACCCCTATAAAACAAAATATCACACCCAATGATCATCTGGCTAATATATAGATATGTCATATCTAATGACAATGGTAGATCTCTATTGTCATTAGATATATGGAATCTATAAAAATGCAAAGAATTAATACATATAAAGTAACACATTGTTCAAACTTTCACTTGTCACATGGTTTCATAGCATTCATGTATTTTCTAAATGTTTATTTATTGAATATAAAATCCCCCAAACCAGAAGAGATTTGGAACAAACTGGTAGGTGGGAGAAGCCAGAAAAGTAAAGATTAATTTGAAAATCGGCTGGAGCCAGGCAGAGACTATAGAGAAAAAAAATTATAGGAAAAAAATTCTCTTTGGGAGATGCAATCATTCAATGGCTTCATATATCTTGACTCTAAGCCCCCTCCCAATTATTCTTGGTCATGTGACCAGAACATATGCATCTGGCTCTGAAATTCCCACTGCATGTATAAATACAAAACATGTAACATGTACAGAAAAATAGAAATATTTATTTCTACAATTTATCGGCCACCTGACTTACAGTTAAAATTTTTAAAAAGGATAAAAAACACACAAAAAAGAATCATGTACCATGTCCAGAGCAATATAAAAGCAAGAACAGCCTGTCAAACAGAAGTGTGGTCTTTGCTGTGTTCCAGAACCTATAAGAATAATCAGTTTCCTGAACTTCATTGAGTTGGGAGACATTTGGACCTCTGGACAGTAACATTCCAGAGGGCAGGCAGCTCAACAGAGAATGCATGCTTCCTGGCTCCACAAGATGACAATGGAGTGTATCCACACCACCCGATTGCACTGGCAGACAAAAACAATTGGAGATAGGGAATCCTTCAAATAGCCAGGTCTTATGCCACATAGGACTTTAAAGATGGTATCGAGCACCTTGATTTGTCCCTGGAAATAAATTGATAACTAGTGCAATTTACAGAACAGTGAGGTCACAAGGGGGCAAGCTCAATGCTGCCTGTACCACCAGATTCTCTACCAGTTGCAGCTTCTGAACAATCTTCATGGACAGTCCCAGAGTGAGTTACAGAGTAGAGTGAGTTGCAATAATTCAATGTGAAGTGAGCAGTGCATGAGTGGTTATCTGAAGTAGCTCCCAGTGCATACTGGCACATCAGGTGTGCTTGTGCAACCTTCCTCTTGGCCAGAACTGCCA